CTCTCTCTCTCTCTCTCTCTCTCTCTCTCTCTCTCTCTCTCTCTCTCTCTCTCTCTCTCTCTCTCTCTCTCTTTTTCCAAAAAGCATTCGTGAGTCCGAAGTGATTCTTTATCGCGCTGAATCTCGTGACGAGCCGAGAGAAAGAGACTCTCTGGCAAGGGAGCGACGACATTTCGGGCGTCTCTGGCAATTTCTCAGCTGCGGGGCTACCGTACGTTCCGTGTCGCGGTCCGCACGATCGACCTAAATCGTTATGTAAACGCCTACGTGCTCGGCTGGTTCTCTCTGCCAAATCGGCCGATCAGGGGCGATTCCTGTGCGCGGACGGTATATGTACACCTTGCGTGACGCGCGCGGTACGTTTTGCAAGGCGGATCGAAACTTCACCGGCGTCTCCGGCGAGAGCGAGATTGACATTCTCCCCGATACGTCCGCCACGTATCTTAATTACATTTTCGCGGAGATACACGCCTATCGACTGAAAAACAGGGCGGCCGTGTATAATTGATTGTTTTAAATTTGAGAAGCGCGTTTTGTAAAGTCAAATGTATTGCATTTCCTGTGTACCCTCTCGAAGCGATGAATCAGTCAATTGCCGGAAACGGTGCGCTTACTCCACAAAATATTTTTCAAAGACTTAAGAAGTAAGAGGAACTAAAGAATATATCAAACCATCGCTGGACAATTGTTTCGTTTCTTAAATCCTGGGCGCAGCAAACGTGATTCTACCGCGTTAGAGCTGCGCACGGACATTTTTTCACGCGCGCATTTTCCCTGCACGTGCACACTTTTGCACGTGCACGCACGCAAATTCCGCTAAGACAGAGAGAGAGAGAGAGAGCATAGTTTAAAATCGGTCTTGCGCTACCGTCCCACGCCGTTATGTCACCTGACACTTGGCGGTGGAAGAAATGAAAATAGATCGGGCGCGCATATCGCCGTGCACTCCTCGATGATTCATCTAATCCCACGCGCCTCTCCCTTCGACGTCGACGTTTCTGAATTCCCTTGTAATCGTCGCGATCAGCGCAACTCGACCACAGACTTCTGTACACCGCCAGACTGCTGCCTTCGAGCTGAAAAGTGAGGCAAGAGTTCCGCCATGTCTTGTTAGTGCATCGGTCTGTCATTGACACACATACTACCTTATTTACCTAACAAGACATAGCGGAAACTGTGTCGAAACAATGTCGATTCGAAATCAATTTGACGGTGTCGATGTTTCGACATCGATCGACAAATCATTTCTCGCTGGGAAGCCGCAACGCGAGAAATGGACCAAAATCACGGTCAAATATGAGAAGAATGATGGACCGCCACCGGCCGATTTCTCGCGTTGCGACTTAGCGTCTCGCGTCTTGCGTCCATTGTAGAATAAGCTTTAGGGAATCGATGACACGAACACGTGTTGCGCGGCCCGCGAAACGACGCAACGCTACGGAACAGCGCACGGCGATGGAATGCCGCCGAGACATGGGCGGGAATGGGACGTTTCTGTCCCACGAAATATTTTTGTACGCGGCGTCGAGGGCGCCCGTACGGGAATAGCCCCTCGTATCTCGGCGCCGTTCGTCTCGAGACGACGATGATGTTTCGCGTCAAGTTGCCGGATCTCTTCCTGCACGGTTTCCCGCGGGACTAAAAATAATTTTTCGTTCGCGGCGCGAACCCCTCCATTCAAGCGGCCGCGACGTTTCAATAAAAGTCGCATAATTGAGACACGATGGTGGTCCCGCTTAATCTCAGACTCCGGTGGATCTCGCGACCCGGGAATAACCGGGTTCGACGCGACGCGCCGATGGCACCGAGCGATGATCCATAAAGGACGCAATTGAGCCGGGGACCCCGTTTAATATTTTCAAGCGGGTTGATTCTCGCGGGGCACGCCAAAAATAACTTGTTTATCGCGCCCGGCTCCCATTGTGGCGAACGATCAGAAATAAATCCCATTTTAACTTTCGCTCTCGCCCCGTCATCTTATTATTGCCCGCGTCGCCGAAAATAAGAGAGCGACGAGCGCGAGCGTTAATTCCATCTACGATCGGGGCTTCGCGAGGGAGGAGAGTCGCGACGACGACGACGACGACTTGGACTTGGACGATGAGCTTTATGCGAGCGTGTCACGGCGAGCGCGACGTCGGTCCAGCTGACAACCGGTCTTTCCTATTTAGCGGCCAAGATTTGCAATTTGCGATTTGCACACCGCACTCGCGTGCGGCGCGTAGGTATACGAAGTACGTGTTTATCGATTATCGGCGTGATCGATATGGGTGAGCCAAGGTAAGCGAGTTGTATTAATAATCGCTCCCCCCCCGGCGCGGGGCGAGCCGCACGGGCCCTCGCGCCGCGCGTTTCAGGCTTCCACTTCTCGGTCTTGAATGTCCTTTTTAAAACGACTCGCGTAACGACCACGGGGCAGTTATACAACCCAATTACTTGGCTCTCGCGAATTCGCGTTAATCGCGTCGATTTATCGTCGATCGATAAATATGCACGTCGTTTCGCGCGACTCACAGAACCCTCGCGGGCCCGTAACCGGCGCCGTTGATGATTTCACAATTGAATCTTTTTCGCAGTCGCCGGTAGCCGCGCCGAATATCGCACGTTCGCATCGACCTTTGCCGCGCACATCTTATCGATCTCTTCTCTTCGCCGCCGCGATAAAGCCCGACGATTACGCATTGGAACGAAGTCATCCTGATAGCGCGGTGTTTTCAAATCGATAAGATAATTTCGCGCGCGGATGACGATACGCGTGCTATTGCGGGGCAACTACGCAATATCAGCAATATTTCGTCGTTACGCAATTCCGCGGATCTTGCCCGCGAGACTCGAAGGGTCTGCAAAAGAGGCGCTTTCGAATCGCGAGGATCGAGCGGATAGGAGTGATATATCATGGTGTAAAGACACAAGGTGAAACAGTGCGCGTGTAACCAATTTTCGGGGCAAACTGTTGATTGATTCTTCCTGCATTCAACCGCAATGATTTACAGTTCGAAGGTTGGGGCAAATTTCTGATCGGTCAACTCGGTAGTTTGGGCCGCTTCTGATTGGTTGACACTGCGCATCCACCAGATTGCTTCACCTTGTATCTTAACGCCATGCGTGATACGGTGTCTTCCCTCTCGACGGCCAGCGGTGAATCATCGTTGTTCAGATGCGCTGCGCGGCGTTTTCGATTCATTGACCCGCGAGGGAGCGAACGCGCCGTTTATTTTTCGCGCGGCCATTCAAGAACGAGAAAAATAAGCCGGCGAGGCGCTTCGACGGCCGCCGATATGCCTCTGGAAGCCGGCCAAGGCGCGCGTCGGCTTTGCATATTGCGCGAATACATGTCGCGGCGAATCGCGCGCGCTTTTGTTCGTATCGACGTGTGACGGCGCATCAAAGCGGAATTCTTTCGACTGTACGTCGCACCGCGTTGGTACACGGCAAATACACAAGGAGACGGATGTCGGCTTTTACCGAGATTGCGAGCTGCGAAGCGATGTTTATCCTCATTTGTCTCCGCGAGCTCGCGCAGCAGCCGTTCTCGCAACGAGATGTATCTCGGTGAAATCTTCGCGATGGAGCCGCGTCTCGAGACGCATTTATTGTGAAGCGAATATCCTAGTAGCACAGTGC